TATATATATATATATATCTTTGATGAGTAATATTTTTAAAAAACTTAATTGACTACAAGACTATAAAGATATATAATCAATTATAAGTATTAATTAAGAAAATAGAATACAATTTATTAAATTAAATTCAAATGATGTTTTAATATAAACAATAATTTTTAAATCTTGTCATAATTCTTAACATCTTATGGCTATCTGATTAGGGTTATCATGACGACTCTTTTTCGTTAACCGCTCGTGTTCAGCTCGCTAAGCAAATAAGTAGAACACGAACACACCTTTTGAGTTCGAAATATAAACCAGCCGCTCGTTTACACCCCTATGCTCCACAGCTCTGTGAGTGTTACTCATGTAAATACGTAAGAATTCGTTGGTATGTCTGTAATCTCACAGCTTCATTCACCTAAAGAGACTCACCAGCATTTCCGCAGTTGTGGGGCCGCGGCCCCACTTTATTTTGTCACACGTCGAAAGATTGCAGAAAATTTTATTAAGAATACATTATAAATCTAAAAATCATAAAGATTAATATATGATAAAAAATAATATATTTATACACACATATATATATATATATATATATATATATATATATATATGTATATATATATATGTGTGTGTGTGTGCATATTTTTAGAAATATTTAAGATAGAATAATTTTTATTTAAATCTAATTCGAGTTAAATTTTAACTTTAAATATGATTTTATTTTGGATAAATAAAGTTTACTTTTGAACAAAAAGAGCTAATAAATATTCCAGCGCCTAATTACATTAATTGAAATATTAATGTTTATAAATTAATTATTTACATGATTTTTTTTAAAATTAAATTATTGAGAATTTGATTAAAAAAAATGGATATTTTGGGGAGAATTTAAAAGATAAAAGGGGGCTGTTGATTTATAAATATCATATTTAATTGCCTTTTTTTTTAATTGGTTATTTACATAAATACCACAACTCGTTTTTATTTACATATCACACCCAAATTTGTTTTGGGCCTTCCACGTGCAAATTAAAGCTATTGACCGTAAAGAGCGCTCAATCAGATTTTCGTTGCTGGCTTCTTCCTCGACTCCTCTGAGACAATGGCTCGTCTTCGCGTTGTAGCTAGATTTCGCCTCGTCTTCTCTCCGAGCTGATGTGCGGCGTTAGGGTTTTGTTGTTTTTGCTCTCTTTTTATCTCCTCGAGCGGGAGAATAATGTCGGGCACGGAGCTTAGCGTGCTCTTTGAGAAATCGAAGGAGCTTGACCAGCTGAGGAAGGATCTGGAGGAGGATATTCTCGAGATCAACAAAATTCACAAGAAGCTACAATCCGGTAAGTATCCTTCTGGTATTATCTTGTTGGAGGATCCATCCCCCGTAGTGTTCGGTGGTTCTGTGTTTCCGATGCAGTTTTTAGCTGATTGTAACGTGTGCAGTAGCGAAATCTTTTTTTGAGCTTTGCTCATGACTTTTGAAGGTGGTGTAAGAATGGAAAGGAAGCGATGAGGGATGGAAATAGCTTTAATGCTTTCTTCGGGCGGTGTTTTTTGTATTTTATAAAACCATTTACAGGGGTGGAGATTAGAAGTGCTTTTACATATCTGATGAATGCGAACTACGTTTTTTTTTCTGTTTTGGTTATATGTGTGCGGGCATCGCAATTGAATTGGCTAGACTTCGTCATCTTCCCTATGCCAAACTTAGATGTTTGTATGATATATTCAAATTTTTATCAATGTTTGGATTCTGCTTAGCGAGGCAGATTCATGAATCGTCATAATTCTTTTCTTCACATTGGGGAAATTAATGATGATGGTACCGCTTACATTGTATCTACGGTGACCAAAGAGATGTCTTGAAAATGTCGATGGTGTGAAATTCTTCCATCAACTACGTCCTTCTCCTTCCCATGCAGCTTGAAATCCATCTTCAAGTTTCATGCAGATGTAGTTGATTGTGAGAAGAGAAGCTCTTCTAGATCTGAACCAAAGAGTAATGAGGGCAGGTAAAAATATCACGCCAAACAAAAAATTAATGTCTGAGAGGTAATTTTCAAACCCGGTTGAACTAGTCCAAAGCCACGGTTCTCTAAACATAAAAATGGAAAACTCCTTTATCAGCTTTTATTCAGATTTTCCATTACCTAACATGAATACAGTAAAGCCTTTATATAGGCTTTACTGAGATACAGGAAAAAGGTAAAGCCTATATAGTACATCTAGAGCACCTTATACAGTAAACCGAAAATATTAAGTTTATAGCTAAGCACATTATTATATGTAAAGTGATACAAGTTTATAGAAATAAGGATCAATGATGCGGGTTGTTGGATGTAACCAGATCATATATCATTGACTCTTTGATTGCTCATTTGTGTTCCTTATTTTCTTAGAGGAATTGATAAAAAAGAGGATGAAGGTTAGAGCTTTATTTGATTTTTGTTGTGAGGGGTGGAATTTGTTGGGGTCAATGGGCAAGAGGTAGAAATTTGGTGAGGAATTGAGAAGTATTGAGCACGTGAGCTGTAGAAAGAAAGAGATCTATAGGAAGAGATTGATCTCTAGAAAAAGAGACTAAATGGGTGATAAATCCGTCCACATTAAGCAAAATGATGTAATAGGAACATTGATGACAATCTGAATATATCATACAAACACCTAAGTTTGGTACAAGGAAGATGGTGAAGTCTAGTCAATTCAATTGCGATGCACGCACTCTTATAACCAAAACAAATAAAACCTAGTTCGCATTCATCAAATATGGGAAAGCGCTTGTAATCTGCAATCCTGTAAAAGCCTTTATAAAATGCAAAAACCACAGCTCGAAGAAAGCATTAAATTTATTTCCATCCCTCTTCGCTTCCCTTCCATTCTTACACCAACTTCAAAAGTAATGAACAATTTTATCCAGCCATGTAATCAACCGAATACAAATGATATTTTAGGCGAATAATTTGTCCTCAAGGCAACTTGAACCCCTTTTTTATTGGAATGTTCCAAGAAAGCTTTAAAGTCAAATTCTTTAATTAGGCTCGTTAAATCACCAACGTCGACAAACTTTTTAATGGGTGAGCCTATTTGACTAATGCCATATGCAATCTTTAATTACAGTATAATGATAATATTTTAAGTATACATTATGAAGGCTATTTCAGGTTATTTGAAAATTTTTTAGAGCATTGATAAATGATGAAAATAAATCAAAATTTTGGGATTTCATGAACTCAAATGACGTCCTTGGCTACTGATAGGTTCGTTGGTGTGTCACATATTCAACATTCACTAACATGGTCTCAAAATAACCTAAATAACCTAACAAAACCCTTACAAATTTGCTTCAATTTATGGACATCTACCAACTTAGGATTGGCTAGTTTTGCTGAACTTGGTCTCCTAAGGAGCCTGAATTTTGGGTGCTGCCCAAGCCATAACCAACTCAACTGCACTTGCCTAGTCAATATGTTTGTTGGGTTTATGTAGAGAATTCATGCCAATTTATCGGAATATTTGGGGTCAATGACTTGTACGATGAGATGGCTTTGAAAAAAATTTAAAATCCTAAAAGCATATGAAATGAAATTCTAAGGACATTTTCAAGCTATTTTAACCCAATTTAATCCAAGAAAACTTTATGGTTCTTTATCAAGCCAACTAATCAATTTCAAATGATCAAGATTGTTGAACTCGGCCTGATCAAAGAAATGGCTTCGATAATTTTCAAAATTTTAAAAATTTTACATGGGATTTTAAATGATTGTATTTTTGCCTCAATTTAACTAAAATAAAAATCCAAGAATTCTTAATAGATAAAACTAAAAATTGAAGATTTTATCATAATGCTACATGAACTTGGATTTTTTTTTTTTTTTTTTTTTTGTCATTTTGTTCATTATATCCTTAATCAAGGATTTTTATGATTTCCAATATAGCTTACATATTGAATAATCTGCTATTGTATGCTTAACATAATGGATTAGTTTAATAAATAAGGCATGACCCACTAATAATTAAAGCTTTAATCGTTGAGATATTTCTGGTTATTAGCTGATTTTTGTGGCTTTTCCCAATGTTAAATATATTTTAATCTTTTTCTCAAGATTTTCCTTTGAGTGCATGATTAACTCAAAATTTAAAGACCTTTATGTATTTGATTCTCATGTTTCATTCTAAGTCTAATTTCAATTTTTATTATGCACCTGCAGCTCCAGATATTATTGAGAAGTCTGGGGATTCCATTTTGCAAAGGCTTCGCTCATTATATGTTCATGCAAAAGAACTCTCAGAAAATGAAATGAGGTAATCAGTAACTTCGAGAATTAGTTGATGTTTATGATCCTGATTTTAATGTTTTTTCTTGTACTTGAAAAGCTGGATTCATGGTAAGCTGCGTTGTTTTTTTTGGCAAAAAAACATTGGATCATCTTCATAATTTTGTTGTAACTTTTTTTATGCATGGTCTACCTCATCTTCTAATTTTTACCTGAAAAAGTAGTGTTTCAACCACATTGATGGCTCAGCTGGATGCATTGCTACAATCAGGGCCTTCTGCTGCACAAAGAAAGAAGATAGGTGAATGACTAAAACTTGAGAGCAGTAAATTCTTTTTTGACACACCAGTTATTCATTATTTTATTTCTTAAATACACTAAATAAGCTTTTACAGTATTCCATAACCCTAAGTAGGGCACGTTCAACATGTTATTGTATCTACTGCTTGATGTTAAAAAGCTGTGAATATGTTATTTTGTCATAAGCGAAAAACATATTATTGCTTTTTTTAATGATTTGATTACATCTGGTGCTATATGGACTTGTGCAACACTGTTGTTTTGAGGATTTATGCTTTTCCATTTTCTCCATGTTTAGTTTGAAAAAAAAAAATTGTTGCTTTTCATTCCTGTTGTTAGGAATTATACTAGAAAATAATTTATTCTTGTAGGAAGTTATAAGTAATAAATTATTTCCTTAGATTAAGGATATATTTCCTTTCCTATTTTATATTTATTTCTTTGGATTAGGAATTATGTGTTTTCCTATTTTATGTTATTTCTTATAACTTCGAATAATTAATATGAATTAATTATTGGAGATATTAAGTGATATATCTTTCCTTTCATATTATTTTTCTTTTATTATCTTTTCTATTTTTGGATTCATGTATGGATTATTTTATACCCCCTCTCATATCAGTGAAATAATCAAGTATTTTGTATTTCGCATTATTCTAAATTTCAACATGGTATTAGAGTCTAATTTCGTATTCTAGCCACCGGTCTTCTTTTGAGAATTGTCGGACTCCCTTCCGGCCATCCTCTATGCGGAAAAGGAGAGGCACTCATATTGGTATTCTAAACAACGATTTTTTCTCCTTCTCTCCCTGCAAGCTTAGTTTGCTGACTGGCCCTTCCTGAACCGGAAGTCACGTGACCTATCGGTCTTGTTCTGCTCCTCCTCCGCTCCCTTCTCAACGTCGACTTCTTCCATCGACGCTACTTGCCGCTGGCCTCTCTTCTTCCTCACCCCCCGACGGAACGAAAGTCAAGTCCCCATTACGCTTAATTCCCACTAACTTGCAGCCCAACGAGCATAACCAGAAGGGATCGAGCGCAGATCTCACTCGTGTGCGGGGATGCACCCTTACCGCTAGGATGTGGTTGGGGCGGCTTGTTAAGGAAGAGCACTCTGGCGTTGTTGATCACGTATGCCTGAATTCCCCCGATCTCCAAAACCTTCCGGATCTCCGCCACACGAACCACATCGTGGCATCGTGATAAGACAACCGTCGTATCTAAATCACACGATGCCCGACATGTCCCTCCGAACGAAAATAGAGGCAGAACCGTCGTATCTAAATCACACGATGCCCGACATGTCGCTCCGAACGAAAATAGAGGCAAATAGAGGCAGAATGCACCAGAGTCGGCGTCCTCACAGTCGAGACAGAACATGTTGCGTTCGTTGTGCGCGGCGTCCGCATGAGCCAAATAAATCGAGAAGGGGGTCATGAGCAGGGGCTCCAGCTAGGGCAGCACCAACGATGCCGCCACCCTCCTCATCGTCATCTCGCCGGAGATATCTCTGTCGTCGATCGGACAATGCCGGCAAAATTCATCGCCGGCCTTCTCTTCTGCAGTATTTTTTCTCCCATGCCCAAGCTACAGGAGGAGTTGTGTTTCCAGCCGCCTTTTCTCCAGTTGTTTTCTTTGTCAGTAGAATTTACTGGATGTGATTTACATGTTTTCTCTGCAGCCAACGACAACCGTAGTCAACTAAAAGTCAGTTTTCCCATAGGTTGTCTTTTTCCCTGCAAACTCCCCAACAATATTACCTGTAGGAGCCCGCCTACCTACAAACACTGCAGAAACTGCAGTCAAAGACAATTAAACTTGTCTACTTCCTTGCAAATTCCATGTAGCAGTACTAGGAGTTTTTTGTCTACCTACACACTGCAGGAACTGCAACCACTATTGTTTACTTATCTGCAAACTCCCTTGCAGCATTACCTATAGGAGTCTTTTGTCTGCCTAAACAAACACTATAGTGTAGGATAAATACTCCAAGTTCTACTTCGCAGGATCTTCCTGACCCACTGTTTGATGTTTTTAAATTCAAGTTGAACGTGGTTTTTAACCATGTTTCATCTTAAGGGGGAGTGTTATGAATTTTACTATGAAATAATTTATTCTTGTAGGAAGTTATAAGAAATAAATTATTTCCTTAGATCAAGGAGATATTTCCTTTCATATTTTATATTTATTTTCTTGGATTAAGAATTATGTGTTTTCCTATTTTATGTTATTTACTATATCTCCTAATAATTAATTCATATTAATTATTAGAGATATTAAGTGATATATCTTTCCTTTCATATCATTTTTCTTTTATTATTTTTTCTATTTTAGATTCATGTAAAGGTTATTTATACCCTTTGTCATATCAATGAAATAATCAAGTATTTTGTATTCCGCATTATTTTAAATTTCAAGAAACAGATTATTGTTTTTTTTAGTGATTTGATTACATATGGTGCTATATGGACTTGTGCAACACTCCTTTAAGGATTTATGCTTTTCCATTTTCTCCGTGTTTAGTTTGAAAAAAAATTGTTGTTTTTCATTCGTCATTTAAGTCTTGTTGTTCATGGATTTGACTAATGTTTTTTACAATTGGAATATAATAGTGGCATACAGGATTTGGGTTAAATGAACCTTCCATGGCTCATTAATGAGGTTTTATAAACATCATGAATCACGTTTTTCTCATCAAAAGCGTCGCTGCATAAATAAGTTGACAGATAATATTGTTTTGAAATTTTCTTAATAGGGGTACACTTTAATGATTTTAAGAGCATATTCATCTATTTTTATCCAAGCTCGGTTCCATAAATGTCAGCTTTAAAATGATGAATACTTTATACTAAATCAAGTTAAAGAAGGTGCTAGCTATTAAGTTACCTTCTCCGATTGTCGCATCATTTATTAGCAACAATATTTTAATGAAAAACTAAGAAAACCTACATTAAGATTGTCTTCTACTATAATTGTTCTGAAATAACTATTCAAACTCTATCATTCTATGTTATTTTACCTTTACATCTTAATATATGCTACACATGATTTGATTGCCAGTGAACGTTATGTTGCCCAACTTTTGGATCTACATTGCTTAACTAGCCATATTTATAAAATTTACTCTTAATTTTTGCTTGTATTCTGTTATAGAATGAACCTGGACGCTGCTCTGCCTGTTTATCATGGAGTGTACGAGCTGAAATGTTTATTTGCAAAGTTTAACTTCCTGATTCAGCTATAAAATACGAAGTTTATTTTAATATGTATCCATTTATGAATACAACTTTTTGATCATGCGAAGTTTATGATATGATGGGTTCCCTTTTTATTCAGTTCATTGCAGTAATATAATCCTCAAATGGTGGTTATGTATGCTACCTGGATTTTGTCTTTGCATATTCTTGTTCTTGCGTAATCTACTATTTCATCACAGAGGTTAGTGAGCAGAAGAAGAAAAGGATGAAAACAGATTCAGATATTCCTAGATTTCCTAGTACTACATCTTTGAGGAACCAGCTTGAGTATTGGGCTAGTTTGAAGGGAGAGCAGGTGATGCATTTAGATTTTGTATTTAGACTACAGGGTGAATTTTACTGAAATACTCTCTTTTTTTTTGTTTCATAACCCCTGCGTTGCTGATTTGATAAAGTATATCTGTTGTGCTTGCTGATAACTTTCTTCCTTTATCCTTAAATTTTATTGCTGGTATCATCCAAATGTTGATCATAATTTCCACATCATTGTTAGGTTTGCTTCTGATTTCAAATTGTTTGATATTGCTTTGTAAATTCTAATTCTCCATAACTTTTCTTTTCAATGTTGTCTTAGGTGTTAGCTATATATGGTACACAATGCTATTATATTATTTTAGGTCTAACCTGTTATCGCTTATTATCCTTCCATATTAATGTTATTTATTATTCGTATTCGTAAATTTTATGGTTGGTAAGCGTAATGATTTTTGTGCACCATAGTGTGATTGACCTAGAAATTATTTTTATATTTCGTAATGTATTTTCTAAATAAAAGTATTGTTTTTTGTCCAATTCTAGATTAGAATGACTTGGGGTTGATTTTTGGCTGACATTTAAAGTTCATGAAAGGACTCCTATTTTGTTGTTTGTTAGGCTATTGTTTACAATGATGAGTTTGTTTTGTACGTTTAATGTTGATTTAAAATTTCTTTCTTGTCATTTCCTATGGTTAGATCAACATAAAGTTCCTTGTCCAGACGAATTGTGCATGAACCTTTACCTTGTCAAAATTCATACATTTGAAATCTTTTTTTAGCTGAGACCTCTTTTCCAGGTAGCTGCAAGAGTCACATCTGATGATGCAGAAAAAGATGAATGGTTCGTTGTCAAAGTAATTCACTTCGATAAGGAAGCAAAAGAGTGAGTTGATTTTTGTTGTCATTGTCATATCTTCACATTTTTATTATTTTCATTATTACAATTTAAATATCTGTTATGAGTAATGCAGCATGGGTTAACCACGGTGCTCATTGGTAGCACCATGAACTTCAGCTTTAATTCTTTTTTTCCTTCTGACCTTTGAAAATATTATGCTTATACAAGGCTATCATGGTTCCAAGGTTGAGTTTTTAACGGTGATTATAGAGAATTATTTATCACTTTGTATGTTCAATTTAAGATCGGGCAGAGCAATTTTTTTTTTGTTTTCCGTGCATGTATGTACCTGCAGTCTGGTTATAACACTGAAGTTGAGATCCTCTTCATCTTGGTAAAATCTCACAATTCTGCCTCAAAATCCATATTTGATACTGTTGACCTCATTTTTAGTGAGATGATACCTTGTTCATTTATAAGCATGACTTCTAGTATCTTTGTGTCTCTCGTTTATGTCTAGAGCTCTACATACTTGCATCTTGCTAGATTACATTTTCTATATAACCCATCCCATCTATCATGCTGAGTTTTCTCCTGTTTTAGCTTTTTCTCACAGATGCCTCCTCACTTTATAAGCTCTACAAGGGGGAACATTTAGTCCCATATCATTTTTAGGCCAAGGTGGGGGCATCCTCCCCACCAATAATTACAAAGATAAGCCATATTAAGAGAAGAAGATCCTTGTGGAAACATTGCCATGTTGCTTAAGATAAACGAGAGTTCTCTTCAATCTTTGCCATATTTTTCACTTGCCTCTTCTTCGTCACCAACAGTTGCTAACTCTTTGGGAAGTGCTTTTATCCCTCTTGTAGAGCTGAGTTTGGTGGTGCCATGGATGTAGGACAATTTAGTATTTAGGGTTTCATGATACAATTAGAATCATGCATGCAAATCATGTAAGTGAATGATGGTTTTGCAAATCTAAGGCTGCTAAATATTTTTAAATTACTTTCTTTAGAAAGTCCAAATGATATTGCAATGATTGGATAAATATGCAGAAAATCAAGGGGAAATTCAAAGCATGCAAACTTAGTTAACAATAGCAATTTATTCATCATAATTAGAATTCCTTTTATATTAAATTTGAGCAAAATCAAGAATGTTTAGAAGGAAATACTAAGAAAAGACTTCACCGGAGTAGAGAAAACTAGGCTTCACATTAAAGCAAGGAGGTGTGACTTCCTCATAATTGAGGAGTTATACTTGTACTGCATTAGAAGTAATCATACATCAACATTCACAATATTGGAAAATACAATAAATAACTTTATAGAATCAAATTTATACCTATATATGTACCTATATATGCCTTAGATTCACCTATATATGCCTTAGATTCTCTCTCTCTCTCTCTATCTTAATCCATGTAGATATGGTTGGCTCAAGAGTAGCCCAATTTTGTTACAAAAACTCTTAAATTTAAATTCAAATTCAAATACATTTTTAATCCTAAAGCTTTCAATTTATAGTGACTTTCAAATTTTCTGAAAACATCCCTATCCTAGTGCTTGACGGATCTTTGATACCTTAAATTTTTAATTTATTAATGTAAACAATCCGTTGGACTTGAATTATTGCTAAAACCACATGTCCAAAACACACCAAAATCTGCTAAAAACCTCAGCATGAGTAATATTCCCCAACAATCACCCCATATATTGCGCGAAATTGTCCACTGTTCGCAATGCTAACAACAAATAACACCAGAATTACCGCCTGCTAATAAATTTGTAGCGAAGTTGCTGACTCTAAATTCGCAGGAGCTAATTACTACTGTAAAACACAGAAGACTTCCCTGAAATTGATGCCTTTTGAAGCCTTAGGCAACATAAATAGGAAATTGGATGATTCCAGCACAGTAAGATCAATGTATTCTTAGGAAAATATGTTATAGCAGCATACAAAAATTAAATACGGAACAAAATAAGCTGCTAGAGACCACTCCATCTCTACTGCTTAAGCTACAACCAAAATTATGTCAGTCTGAAAGCTTTCAAATCCATTACTCAATATTAAAACTTAATGATGTAAGTCCTAAATCCATCGCCTAAGGGAATTCCACATTAGTCACCCGAGAATATTTTTCTTTAGCGTGGTTTAGACACTCTTTGCCTAGGTCTTCTGTACACTACTTATGCATGCCTGTGGATGTGGGTATGAGGCTCGTAAACATAGCCTCGATATCTTGTGCGCCATTGTACTTGCCCTTCTTGGATTGGCTCACTCTTTGCTATCCTCTTTGAGGAAGGTTCGTTGAAAATTTTGGGCTTCTCTATGAGGCTGAATGAACCTAAATAAATTTAACATAATTTTTATTCAATTTCTTGTGTTGCATCAGCATTCCACTAAATGAGTTATTCTATTCCTAATGCCCTTGTTGATGAGTTCATTAGTGGTTTGGCATATCTAATAGAGTTCAAATTGGAATGTGCTCATAATTTTCATTTCTCCCTATTGATACAACTTCATGCTCGGTTTAAAATTTTGAAGGCCTTTTTGTTAATTAAGTATTTGCTTTTTCGTTATGTGACTTCAAATCATTTTGTTTCTTTAAGTGGCCATGTGAATCTTGTCTATAGTTGGTATAATTTTCTTTCGCAAAATATTTATTTATACTAAGAGAAACATATTATATGTACATATGCAGATTTGAATTGCTTGATGAGGATCCCGGTGATGATGAGGAAAGCATTCAGAAGTGAGTTCTATACAGGGTTACAAAGCTTTATTTTTTCTGTATTTCAGCTTGAACCTGTTCCAAAGATAAACGATCTGCATGCTTATTGTTTCTTGACTGTGCTACTGCTACTTGGTAGATTTTTTTGAGATAAAGAATGATCAAGAACTTGACGGATTGAATGGGAGAGAACTGGTCTTACTTTTCCATTTTGCTTGTTACCAATCACTATATGTTGAAACTGAACCCGTTAATTATTTGCACGGAACATACTGTTCTTATACTATCATTCACAATTAAAATCACCTAAAAGTAATCTGGAAGTTTTTACCAGCCATTATTGAGGTGCAGCATAGAAAAGTAATGCTTATTGCTGTATAATCTCTTAAGTATTGGAATTTAGATTTTTAATATGTTAAGCTTCGGCCTCAAATCTTCTAATACGGGGCAGAGAAAAGTTTAAGTGGAAACTTCTTACCTTCATTTGACTGCACATTGCATTTTTTAGGGTGTCCAACCTAAATATTTGATGTCTGTACATGTCTAGCATTCAATTAATTTCTTAGCTTTTTTAATATTTGAGTTCGCATCCTGAACTTGCTGAACTTACGTCACGCTATCCTCCTTGGGTGTTCTTTTACTGAGAATTCTTACAAGTAATAACACTCATTTTAAATGTGTACTAATACAATTGTCACATTCTTTGTCCTCTTGAACACTCAATTATTTGTTGCATCGTACTCATGATTATTGCGATCTCCAGATTCTACTTTTAAAAAGCTGATTTTAGAATTTGTTTATTTGCATGGATCTACTTTTGAGTTTCTCTATACTTTCTTATGATTGAGTTGCTTGCCAAGTTGCCATTATTATATTGATAGCGTTAATTCTACATGCAGAATGGAGTTACAGTGCTAAAACTTTATTTTGTGGAGTTTGGGATAGAATGCCCATATTTGATAGTTACATCTTGTTACAAAGTACATATGAATATTGACATATATGAATTCAACTCAATTCAACCAAACTTTGAACTTCTTTCCTTACAAAGATTGCAAATCTGTCATGAGCCATGTACACCTTTTTTATGATTGAGCTACGGAGAATAAGTTGTTGTAGTTTTTATGATATTTTTTGTATTTGCAAATTGACTTTTCTTAGTAGATGCACATGTGCATTATTGTTAGTTGTTGTGGGCTCCTTAGTTGGGGAGAATCAGAGCGAGAGTATTTTCAAATAGCAAATTAATTTTGCCAGATGTCATCCGGATGTCTGGGAGCTGTTTAAATTTCTGGTCAAGCTTTCCTCTTAGCACAAACCCTCTTAGTTTATTTTTTTTTTTTTTAACATTTGGGTGAGGACTCTTGATTAAGTTTTATGGACTGCATTTTTATGTAAGAAAGAGGAGGGAGCTTATGAGTTGGCGATAAACCCTTTTAAAATCTCATGATTTTATTATCTTAGATGATATTGAGTGAATGATAGTCCAAGAATCATTGAATCTTACCATCGATAGCCTCAAGTCAAGGGTTGTCTATCGCTAAGCATATTAGTTAGAGAGCTTACTAGCACCATGTGATCCAAGTCAGCGAGTTTGGTAAACCCTTTCAGGACCCATGTCTCCATTATCATAGATATTCCTAAGTGGATCACAATTTTCAGAGAGAGGGAGAGAGAGAGAGAGAGAAAGACCCTTTTGGAATCCCATGATTCCATCATGTTAGATAGTATCAATTGGGTGTTGCATTTACAACTTTTTTTTTTTTTTTTGTGTTTGGAAACTTTTTCTTCTACTCTTAAAAAATGTAATGTTATGTACTTTTTTATTGGGGACATCGATTTTTTTTTCACATTTATATCTATCAAATCTTTCATATCACATAAAAATACTACTATTTTTAACTTTTGAAAAGTGAAATACACCTTCCAAGATGGCGTATACATAAAAGTTAAAATCAACTGTTAGATATGTAAATACACAAGAATTGAGTGGTATGTATGTAAATCTTTCTTTTTTTTTTTTGGTTATATTCTATGTTCAAAATTGTTTGAACCGAGTTCAGGTTGGACTATGGATTGATTTTACACTTGGTTTGTATTAGGGTTGGCGTTGTTTGGTTTGCCCTAGACCCTTTTTCGGTTATATTTTTTTGAAACTCTTAACCCTACCTATTAACTTGACAGCTGTCGGTTGAGCTAACCCAAGTTGCAACCAGTTGTGATGATAACTATATTAATTTAATTAATTCCTAACTTTTTATATTATCATTTTACTTAATTCTAGATTTTAAATTAAATTTGATTTACTGACTTTGGAAAATTTGTGATTGGTTTTGTTTAAAATTTCCAGGAAGTACAAGTTGCCTTTGTCTCGCATCATTCCTTTTCCAAAGAAAGGTGATCCATCTAGTGCACCAGATTTTCCTCCAGGCAAACATGTTTTGGCAGTCTATCCAGGAACCACAGCTTTGTATAAAGCCACTGTTGTGAATACTCATCGCAAGGTAATCTCATCTTTTGCCCTTTCTTGCCTCTGTTCTGCACAATCTGCAAAGCACAATTTTTTGAGATACTTCTCATTGAATAATCATGATTTTGTTTGGGAGATTTGCTCTGTACTTATATTCGCACAAGGTACAGGGAAAAACAGTAGTTGTAATAATAAACTTATTTGCTGTTTAGTGCTACAATAAAAAACTTACTGATATATCTGAGCTAATGATTTATTGCACTGATGTTAACTTTTTTTTGGTGCTTTTCATGTTACTGATTGCTCCAATTTGCTTGCAAAATCACAGAGGAGAACTGATGAGTAAGTTTCTTACACTCAAAGAATCACATAATTCTGCTTTTTATGCATATTTGCTTTAGTTTGTACTTGAATTTTAAATTCGTTTACATTGATATATAATTAGATCTATCAAATATATTGAATTTTGGTTGTAAATACCTTTTACCTGTTTAGTAAGGCAGGATTTGTAGATAACATGCATATTTTTTCTTCTATTAATCAGCTATTCACTAGAATTTGATGATGACGAAGAAGATGGCTCTTTACCTCAAAGGAGTGTGCCATTTTATAGGGTCGTTACCCTACCGGAAGGTCATCGTCAGTGAGACAAGGGCCACTAATTATTGTATGTATAATGATTCATTATATAGTTTGTGGGATAGCACTAAATTTGGATGGCCATTAATCCCACATTTATTTATGTAACATGTTACCACTTCAATACGGCATTATATAAGTAAATGAAAATGAATTTATATTGAAGATCCAGCATTGAATTGAACTTTTGATGGATATTTTGTTGCTTTAGTGTAATTCATTATTTTTTTTTTCATTTTTTCACCTGGTTTGATTGGATGCAAATTAAATGCATTGAAATAATTTATTATTTATTAGGATACATTTTAAACACTCCTTATCTCTCTTATCTTTTATCCGTAAACTCGAGCAATGATGATTTGGCGAGGCAACATTTAGGTGAGGTTGTGAGGTAATGACTTCATGCTTTACTTTGTAATTCAGTTAAGTTGGGCAATTTATAAATGTAGATCAAACAGAGTGTCTGTAATATTTTTAAAAAATTTTGCTGAGATCAAATATCTGAAAAAGTAGAAATATAAAGAATGGAAAGTAATATTATCCTGATGCTTATGGTCTAATATTCCCAAACATAATGAGTTTTCTCTTCTTTTTATCTATTGGTTTAACAAAATTTTCCATGAATTCTGTAATCTACCCAGACATCAATCAATGCCAATATACAGCCAAAGAATGTCTCACTAGAGCCTGGAACTCAAACTAACAGCACAATTTGTACTTGTTTCTCAGGTCTGACTTCTGAGATGAACAGTCTTATTTTTAGCTGATAAATGTAAGTTTTTTTTTTCTTTTTCATGAAATGTAGGTGAGCCAAAAAGTTAATAATAATAAAAAAAAGAGTCATCCTAAATATATGCTATTATGTATAATTTCAAACTATTTTTAAGCCCACTAAGAGAAGGAAACTTCCTTGTTGTAATGTTGTTGTGTTCTACAGTATTTGAAGGGAATATAATCACAAAAAATGGGAATCATTTTGCCTATAGTTCTGCCAATATTCTTAATTAAATGGGGTTCCTAAGGTTGGTAAAAATAGTAGTAATAAAAAAATTAAGGCCATGATTTTCTTTTTTCACCTGCAACAACAATATTGGAAATTTCAGAGTTTCTGTTATTGGTATGGTCTCAAGTAGTCCGTGTTGGGGTTTTGGTTTATTGGGGACCATCATTTGCCACACATTTCCTGTGAACGCAATAACTCCTTCCTTAATTCCCTGCTTTAGCACCATCCATTGGGCACAGTATGATAATAGTTAGGGCTGTAAACTTTGCCTCAATTCAAATTTTTGCTTGGATTGAGATCATATCAAAATAAAGAAGCCCAACTATGAACCGAAACATTCAAGCAAAAACTTTTTTGAGCTGATTTTGAGTCATACATGAATCCACTTGAACTGACGCAAGATGGTCTCATAGTAAAATTCAATAGAACGAGTCTATAAATCCAAATAACTCAATTTGAACCGGATCAACTCAAAATTGAATATAACAAACCACATGCAGATTTCAAGTTGCACAAACTCCATTTGAGCAAATTTCAAGCGGATACCAACTCAACTTGAAATCGAGTCATTAACAATCCTAATAAATGACTAGAAATAATGTTTTTTTTTTTTTTTAAATTTTATTTTATTTTATTTTTGAAGCATTAGATAAACGAACTCATTATTGCTTATTTTATTTATTTATTTTGTTAGCCATTAAAAAATTCAATATTTAGATGAAAAAAAATGCTTGAGATTTTACCAGTTTAGAATCTGCTTTTTATACCTTGCCTCATGGTCATGCTGACTTTAGAAGATACATTTTTAAAATCAAAATTATAAGTAATGCAAGAGTGGGTTTCTCTATTAAGAACAAGGCAGATACATTAAAATACAATGAAAAACCATATAGATGACTGTTTAATATATTAATATTGATACAAATCAGGCACACATGCAATCTAAAAATAAAATATGCAGTCCCATAAAGGAGATGCCATGCCCGCACAAGTCCTACACAAGTCCGAAGTAAATATTTTATATTGATCAAAACATGCTTTAGCAGGACACCACAAAATCTCAATCCCTAAAAAGAAATACACAACGCACAAAATGCTCAAGGAATCTACCCTCCCACGCTATATACAAGCCTGTATAATAAATAAATAAATAAAAATTAATAATAATAAATACCACATCATTCTTATGCATTTACATATCTAACCCCTAAACTTTCATATTTACATGCAAAGAATATCACTAGTACCTAGTTTTTTAAAAGCGACGTACATCTTCGCATTCCTAGTTTTATCACAACAAAATATTATGAATGTAAATATGAAAGTTAAGGTCTTGGAGATATGTAAATACACGAGAATTATGATGAATGTATGTAAATTTCCTAAAATAAAATAAAATAAATGATAAAAACTATACATCCCACCCATCACCCCTGCTTCCAAAACCCCATTTTGCACCCAAATTCCCATAAAGTCCAGCAAACTTAACAAGGCACTCGCTCCTCACCTTATAATGCACGTTAGTGTTCTTACTGATTGCCACTCCAGAAAACTTGGACGTATCTATCGTCCAAGAAGCCTTCACATACTCCACCACCCTAGATCCTGAGCTAGCATTGGCATACAAAAAATTTAACAGCACGTCCTCACAGTTAAATTTGTCATCCACAAACTCCCTTCCCTCCACCGCCTCCTCACCGTAATATCTACCAAATGCTAACTTGGCATCCATAAACGCAGCTCCCGTAAGTATCATATTGTATCCGTGCTGCCCTCGAGCATACCTTTCATCACGATAAGTTAACCGATCACCTTCGGCAAGACGTGGGTAGAACCCAACGATCCGATATGGGTGTTCCCTCCACACCAGGAAACCTCGCTCCACATCATTGCACGATATCATGATATCATCGTCGAGCTCGAGAATGGCTCTGGTCTTGATCAACGGGTCGAGCTTGAATCTATTATTCAGAGAATTTCTTTTCTCCACCCTGATCCTAACTGGAACAGCAGAGTCCAGTTCGCTTAATACTGGTGTTCTGCCTTTGTTCCAGACTACAACAATCTCCCTTACTGATGAGCATTTTGAGTAATGCTTCACATACATTTTCAGGTTCCATAACCTGGCATCATAAGTCATGGTGAGGAGAGTGAATTGGGAGTAATGTCCCATAAGTTGGTAAGGCTCTTCTGCACCAATGCCTCCGTACAAGTAATGGGTGCCGACACATGTTAGCGAAACCAGAAGTAGAAATATGAGAACAAGGATTAGACGCCCTGCGAATGCTTTCGGGTTTATTCGTCCCTGGACTTGTGAAACGGACCTGTTAATTTGTATGAGAAGCCATCTCAGATTTGTGTAGATGTCAGCGCTCTTGCGACTGGTGTAGACAATATTGTTTCGCTTGCCAGAGATCGGGATGCACTGGCGAACAGGGAGAATTAACTTAATTGAACTCAGCATTATTCCTGAGAGAATAGAGAGGGCAATGGCAGCTCCAAATGAAGTATAACCAATCATAAGCCTGTAAACTGCATCACCTGAACGGACCCTGTCGCCATCCATCACCCCGATCCATTCGCCGGTGGAAAGCTGCTGCACATCCATGTGGTGGAAACGAGCGCCATTCCAAGAATTACGATCTTTTTTGGAATCTTCGATGCCGAGGGGAACTTCAACTTCCTCGAATTTGTCTGGAGCGAGAATCTTAACTTTAAATATTCTTACTCTCCGTCCATATGTCTCGCGACAGTCCTGTCCTGGACGATAAAGCTCGCCGTTGTATATGAATGGTCTGCCTGCATTTCTAGCACCAAATCCTTTGTCAAAACTATGGTTGGAAGTCTGCTTGTGTAGCTTCCAGGAGCCTAGTGGTGAATTGCTGTACCAAATTTGAAGCTCTCCGTTCCTCTGAGAATCTGAACCCCAGAGCCAATAGTATCCTTCATAATTTACGATGAATGAATCTACAAGTGGCTTCTTCATGATGATATTTTCGAGCTTCCATTTCAAAGGAAATTCTACTGCTCGGTATAGACGAAGATCTCCTTTCTTGCTGCCTTCAGGTAACATGTATATCTATGAATTAAACCAATATCATATATTGAACTTCGGTTCATCCATGCACATAGAAAATAAAGAGGCATTTACACACATACCACGGAATTCCTATGTATTTACATACATATCCATCAACTAAACTTCAATTTTTATATTTATATTTCTGAAATGCTTCATATCACATCAAAAATAACATTATTACAGCTTTTCAAAAGTAAAACACACCTTTTCATGCATAGATAAAGTGCTATAAATTTAAAAATCAAAGTTTACTACATGCATAAGAATTGTGTGCTATGTACGTAAATCTTCCAAAAATAAATAACATATTCTTACTTGATCCTGGTAATCAAAAACATAAGGGTATGAAAGATGCCACTCTTCGTCTAAAGCAGTGCCCAAATGAGTCCATGTCACACCTTTATCTTTGCTCATAGCAACACCAATATCGCCTTGCAGAGTGATGGAGTTTTTCGTTTCAAAGAACAAATAGAAGATTTCATCCTGGATAAAAGACAATTTTTACTGAGATAAATACTCGTGCGGGTAATGGAAAATGTTTTTAAGGAATATTTGAAATAGCTGATATATTTTCATAATTATTTAACCTAGAGAGAAACCAAATAACACTTTATAAACACAAAAAAAGTTCATCATCCCATGTATTCATGAAAGAAATGAATATGGGTCTATTAGAAAATGTAACATTTTGATGTCCCTTTAGTATTTTAACAAGTAAATCTGTTTCCACGAATAATCTTTTTAATAAAAATTGTGTCCAAAACAGTAAATATAGGGGATACTTAGCATGAAACCTGGTTGAATCGATGGTTAATTACTTCATTAATAAGTAAGATAAAAAAAACAATTTCTACCAAACTAGGTTAGTTCATCACATCCTCAATTCCTAACCTTAACAAAAATCAAACTATGAATGGTACAGATGAAATGTTGTGAAAGTAATGCCAAACCCAAAGTATTTTTCTCTCAAAATTTGGGAATTAATCATTTGTAAATAAAAAAAACATTTAGATCATTAATCAACAAGAAAAAAATTAATACATTATGACATTGAAGCACATATATGTTCAACACAAAACTTGGCCGAGCCATGAACTTTTTGCCTTCATTTATTGAAGACTCTAAGTTTTAAACTGCCAAGGGTGGAGCTCTAGCCATGAATTGTACTATTCATCTCAACTAGGTCCTCTAGCTTCCCATATAAGTGCAGGGCAGTCAAGGAATCTAGAGATATTCTAATGGATCTTCCACGGAAGGACCCCCATTGAAGCACATAATCAAACTAAAAGACCTGATTTTATGGCCTTCAAAAATGTAGACCGATGTGGAGACCCTTAACCAAACACTCGGATGTAATTTATGTGAAAATATAGAACTTAGCATATCTTAGTTAAGATGATATCTTTCATAGTGAGCTCTAAAAGTTTGGATTATTTTCTCAAAGCTTTCAAATACTTATATGAGATAAGGAACTAAAAACATGTGCCGTAAATTTCATTACTACAGATGCTGATACAATCTATAATTTGAACATGGTCTTGGGAAAGTAAAAATGTAAAAAATTCAACTTGACTCGTAATATAACAACGAACAAATTTTTATAAGCTAAATTGTTCACAAGTTCAAAGCCAAACAAAACCATTATTCAACCATATGCTTAATAAAATATACTTTTGCTTGGTTCATTTGATGCTCTCATTGGAATTTTCATTTTCAAGCATCTGCATAAATATTTCCGAATCACTCGTAACAAAGCCATGAAACTAGTTCATACCATCAGATCCTGTCAGTAGAAAATTTTGCTAATAAAATAATGGAAAATGCTTGAGTGAATGCCAAAAAGATGGATTTTTTTACCAAATAAGCTAAGAAACAGTTAACATAAAAATATTATCTCAACATTATCCTTTTTTGTATAATAAACATAAACTCATGGTGATTTTGTTATCTACGAAAGTTCTTGGAAACTTTTTTTTGTACTGCAGCACTCTAAAATAACATAAAAACTACGAAGTACTGCTGAGGCATTAAAAATTGGTTCTCTTCAGGGCAACTTTCATTCACAGTTGCTTTAAGAATCCAATGGAAAAGCGACCTATACTAGATATGCCCCAAATCTTATTCCTGAGAAGATTCTTTTTTGAGTTATCCTCATCTATCTACCCCACTGCCATATTTGAATTTTTATTTTTTCCAGAATATTGATTGTCAAAATACAAATTTAAGGGAGGGGGAGGGCTTCGATCTCAGGACCTTGACAATTTGTTCCACATGTTCTTTACCACTGTTCATTTTTTTCTTCACATTTTTTGTTCATTCTTTTCTCAAATTAACTTGACCCCAAAATAACTCCCTAAGCATCTCCAACAATTTTTTTTAGTTTAACTTGCAAACTGCATTGACCATCACCCAACAAATGTTGTACACAGAGATAATTAAAATCAAACCACCCATATTTCAGCTAGAAGCTGGTTATTCAACTACAACCCTATCATAATATGCTTCCCCAAATATTACATAATAAAAAAACATAAGCCCAATAAGCACAGAAAGAAACCATCTAATAAACGATGAAGCTTCCAAATTTTCATCATCCCAGGTATTCATGAAAGAAATGAACATGGGTCTATTAGAAAACGTAACATTTTGATGTCCCTTTAGTATTTTAACAAGTAAATCTGTTTTCACGAATAATCTTTTTAATAAAAACTGTGTCCAAAACAGTAAATATAGGGGATACTTAGCATGGAACCTGGTTGAATCGATGGTTAATTACTTCATTAATAAGTAAGATAAAAAAAACAATTTCTACCAAACTAGGTTAGTTCATCACATCCTCAATTCCTAAACTTAACAAAAATCAAACTATGAATGGTACAGATGAAATGTTGTGAAAGTAATGCCAAACCCAAAGTATTTTTCTCTCAAAATTTGGGAATTAATCATTTGTAAATAAAAAAAACATTTAGATAAATAATCAACAAGAAAAAAATTAATACATTACGACACACAAGCACTAGGTAAAACCTTCGATAAAGCCAAAACAATATTTCTAAAAATTTAGAAACAAAAAATTTAACTGTGAAATCCTGAACAAAAATATGTTGCTGAACTAGAAATTGAAGCACATATTGTTGACCTCATTTTTAATGAGGTCTTAGTCTCCTACTCCTATGAACCCCAAATCTAGCCTTAGGAGTTCCTTGTTGACCATCCTAGCAAGCTAGTAATGGAGCCCACCTCCGTAGAACTTCAAATCGCTTCTTTACTCATTTTTGCGAAGAACTCGCATGAAAGGTTCCAAGCACTCAACTTTTAGTTGCAAGGGCTAAGGACCAGCATGTAGAGGGCCCGAAAATAAGCTCCCATAGGATCAGATAGCCATAAGTGAACCCTCCATGACTCGAACGCTCGCGAACGCCACACTTCACGCACTCGTTGCACCACACACAATTTTGGCTTAAATTGTCACCCCCCCGCCGACAAACTTGTCCGGACGACCTCGGATGACGAAACGGACCGCGCCGATGCGTCCGGAACGTTGATTTTAGCTAGAAAACACACTCATATTATTGTGGTTCCACACTCGTGCGAACCGCATGGAAATCGATGCTTTTTTAGGTGCACGGGTCAGGCTCAACCCAGGTCCGACTCGGCCCGATTTGGGCTAGATACCTGCTCACGGATTTTTGAATTTCAAATTTCAAAATTCATGCAGATTATTTAAAACTCGTATTAATTGAAAATATTTGAATGTTATTCTTTTCCAATTAAATCGTTTGCAAGAAAGGAAATCATTAATCTCCCCGCCAATGTTGTCCCGTAACGGCTCTTTCTCCAGCGGGCCTATTTCTTTCTCGCTCACGAGAGCCTCGGTTGGCCGCTTCCAATTCGAACGAAATCCTCCGCTCCCGCTCGTCTCGGCAGCGAATTTTATGTCCCTCCCGCTCATCTCCTTCCTCGGCAGCGAACGAAATCACCGCTCGCTCCTGTTCGTCTCCCGCACTCGCTCCTGCTCGTCTCCCGCGCTCGCTCCCTTCTCGATCCCGATCCCTCGCTCTCTGCTCGATCCCGTCAAGCACATCAAAGAAGCCGCAGACACCGCTCGACACCTTCGCCTGCTCGCTTCTTCCCTGCTCGATCCCCGCTCGTTTTCAGACACCTACTGCCATCGAATAGATCTAGTCTTTCGCCTCTTTCTCCCGATCAAAATTACTGCCCGTTTCTTCCTCCATCGATCGGAGCCTCAGAGGTCTTGTTCGACTCCCACAGACGTTCGAAGCTCCGCTCGCTTCCCTCTCTGCACCGAAGCATCCTCACAGTCTCCAGATTTTTTTTCTGCATCTACTGCAGTCTCAGGTTTGCGCCCTTTACATTAAATTTATCCTGAATCTAATAATTTGTTCGCTGTTTACACAATCCTTTATGCAGATTAAATTCGTCATCACCATTAGCTTTATCCTAATTGCTTTTACTTGGTCTTATGAGCTTCCTTTATCCATTGATATTGCTCTTTATTATTTAGATTTGAGCTCTGATTTTGATTTTTATTTTTAAAGCTTCATGATTATGTTAAGATTCAAGAAAGGAATTT